CTCTTGATGTGAAGGATGTCGTGGGTTGGCCCATGGCGTGCTTTCTAGGAATTGTTCTTCTGCAGCAGCCTCGTCCGCTGTTGTCGTTCTGTTGTAGGTGCGGAACGAGGGGGGCGGCACTGGAGCACGCGTTGCAATCTAACGCGCCGAATCAGCTGCTAGTTCTCTAGCAGATGCGTTCAGCCACTTACCTTCATTGCTCGAAGATCCTCGTCGATCTCGGTTGGTCGCGCAGCGCTGATATCCGGGGCGGCTGGGAACCCAACGTACTTGGCGACACCTGAAAGAATGGAGACCTCGAGGTTGTATGCTGTTTGGTGTCGGATCTGGTCAGATCGCTTCTCAGGTAATCGCGCCATGTACTCAGTGTCATCGCAGCCAAGCTGACGTCGTCCGCGTTGTAGTTCGAATACCCGCTGGTTGCACTCTTCGAGAATGTCCTCGCGGATGTGGCGCACAGTCTGGAAGTACTGGCTGTGCATCTGATGGCGCTCTGCTGCTGTGATTATCTCGAGATTTTTCTGTTTGTATTCCAAAAGCCTCGTCTCGTATGCGATCTTGTCGGCGCGTCGATCGTCCACGCATTTGATCATAGCAACGTACTCGGGGTGGACACAGTTTGGCTGCTTGAGCATGTCGAGCTCTCGTTCGAGTTGCGCTATTTGCTCGTCGCATAGCCTGGTAACGATTAGTAGCTGATCCTTCTGATCATGCCCTGAGTGAATTGCTTACTTCTCTCGGAAAAGCTTGAACTTCTTCTCAATCTTTGCAAGCTCATCGATCGCCTGCTTCTTCTTGGTGACCTCCTCGTCGAGTACGGCGCTGTCTTCATCGTCGTGCTCGCCCTCAGCTTCAGCCTCGTGGGCTTCAGCAGCTGCAAACGGTTCGGCGTAGGCATAGCTAGCGTCTTCCGTCTTCCGTTTCCCTCTTCTACCACCTTTTCTTGGTTTTGTGTGCTTCGCGACGGTGGCCATTTCGCTGACAGTCTGCGCGGCAATGTTGGCTTGTCGCTCTTCGAGCTCTAGCTCTTCGCGAGCCAGTGCCGACAGGTGCTCTTCGGCGTTCTCGAGCTCTTCGTCTGCGTCCATCTGCCCTTGCCTGTCTGCTGCGGCATCAGCCAGGCCATCGAGCGCCGAACCCTTCGCGTTTACGCTTCGTTTCCGTAATGGTTCCTCTTCGCGCTCGTCCACTGGGCTTCCCTCGGCACTGCTACGCTTTCTTTTCATGCCCACGTGCTCGAGATTTGCCGCCTCCGATGCTGCGATCAGCGAAAGAGAATGCAGAGGGTTTTCAGTTGTAGGTGCTTCGCCCATGGTGACATCGTCTGTAATTGCAGATGGCGTGGGCGGGGCGGATTCGTCGTGCTCGATGGTCTTGGAATGCGCGAGCTTGCTCGGTGTTCTTGTGTGGATGGGCTCAGAGAGTAATGACGTCTCGGTCGCTGTGCGCGCGAACTTTCGAGGCGTGTTGTCCAGTCGCTCCGTCTCGGCCTCTGAATCATCCTCGTCCATATCGGCTACTGCGGCTGGCCGTGGTGTTGACTCTGACTGGTCGTCCGATGCGTCTCCGAGCTCGCTCAAGCTGCTAGAGCCGTTGTCGGCAACATCATCGAAGCCATTAGGAGCTTGTTCTGCGGGCAGGGACTCGGTGAGCACTGTCGTCGGAGCTGCCATGGTGGACAGCATCGCAGCAGCGATCGCGGTGGGGTCTTGGTCAGCTGGTGTGGGTATCTGCGCTGGCGCAGAGTGGTTGGAGGGAGAGGTGGTGGAGGTGGGGTCGGGTAGTTCTGTGGTGAGGGTCGAAGTTGGACCTGGGAGGGGCTGTTAGATCTGGTGCAGGTTCGGACGGCGTGGGTCATAGACGCGGTGAGAGAGGCAGGTTCGCGACGCTGTCGTCGCCTCGGTTGTTGACGCAAAGATCGACAGTCTCTCCAGCGGCAACCCAAGGCGCAGTGCCGCGCCTGAGGAAGCCGAAAAAGCGCATCGGGGTCGGGATAGAAGAGGTGACAACGTACTTTGAGTGTGCGCGACGTCCTCGCTGGGGCCGGCAGCTGTTCTCGAGGTGCTCCGTCTGGTCTGTTCGGGCGCGCTCATAGTGCGCCCACGCCGAAGACAGCCTCACCGCGTGACCAATGTCGTAAAAATATGCCGTGGACGGTGTGCTGGGCCTTCGCGATGCGATATGGGCGTCTTTGGGGGTGGAGGATGCAGGGCCCGGCGAGCGGTCAAAAACAGAGCTGCGGGTGTGAGGGACGCGGGCGTCGAGGGAGCGTGTGGGGATGTCTCAGGCAGGAGCGACCGGGTGGCAGGTCTGCGATGTTTGTACGGGAGTGGGTGCAAACGCGGGACAGCGGCGGGCATTCCTGTGTGCGTGGTGAATGCGGAGGGCAGCTCGGTCGGGATGGTGTAAACTGCGCTCTGAAGCGGGTCGACGGCCGGGAGAGGCCCTGAGGCTTGCAAATGACCGCACTGCCCTGCCCCGGGCGGTGTCGTTCTGCCGCCTGCATCACCCAGCTGGGCCTAGCGCGCGTCCGCCGTGAAGCGTCTCCACCAAAACTTTTTGACGAGCTTGCTGTCGCCAACACCAACATCTCCATTGTCGCCATGGCCAAGTCAAAGGACAAACGCTCGGCTAAGACTGACGCGCCCAAGAAGAGCCACAAGTCAGACAAGTCAGACAAGTCAGACAAGTCCCTCATCAAAGTCGACAAAAAGGCGTTTGACCCGGCGCTAGCATCGCTGTTTGCTGCCAGTGTACGTTGATCGCATGTCTGGGCTAAAGAGTGATTGCTAATAACTTCCAGGCCGGACCTGTGCAAGCGCCGTCAAAGTCACGGTACCAAGCGCGCGAACAAGCGAAAGCGACCAAAATATCCAGCGAAGATGAAGACGAGGGCGATGCGAACGATGCGGAACTGAGCTCGGCATCTGAAAGCTTGCCTTCCGACGATGAGGACGATGAGGAAGACGAAGATGAGGATATGTCGGATGCCAGCGACGACGCTGAATCTGAGGATGAGGCCGCGCTAGCAAAATTGGGTGAAGCTGTACTGCACGGCGCAAAGGAAAAGCCAAAAAAGCGCAAGCGCGGCGACAAGGAGGAGATCGAGGATGCATATATGCGCAAAGTAGCGCGCGAGGAGGAGAAGGAGGAGGAGCAAAGACAGAAGAAGCGCAAGACCGAAGAAGAGGAGGACGAGGATTCTTCAGACGAGGACGACGAGGATGAGTCTTCGGATGAGGCAGATGAGGGCAAAGAGACCAAGGAAGCGGACAAGGCCGAAGACATCGCAATTCCCAAGCACGAGTCGCTTATGGAGAAGACCGACGAGAGCGCATCCGAGGTGGAGAAGGCGTCCCGCACTGTCTTCCTGAGCAACGTCTCGGTCGAGTGCATAAGCTCAAAGCCCGCAGAAAGGGCTCTCAAGAAGCACCTGGAGTCCTTCATACCCGACCTCGCCGATAACAAGCCCCCGCACAAGATCGAATCGATACGTTTCCGATCAACGGCTCTCGATCCCTCGCTTCCCAAACGCGCTGCCTTTGCAACCAAGGACATCATAGACGCGACTACCAAGAGCACGAACGCATATGCTGTTTACACGACCAAGGTAGCCGCAAGAGAAGCTGTCAAGAAACTCAACGGCTCTATGCTGCTCAACCGCCATCTCCATGTCGATTCACTAGCCCATCCCATGAAGGTTGATCACCGCCGCTGTGTCTTCGTCGGCAACCTTCCCTTCGTAGACGAAGAGTCCCAAACACCCGTCGCAGAAGGCGAGAAGCCCAAGAAGAAGAAGGCCGCCTCTGACATCGAAGAGGGTCTCTGGGTACACTTTGGCAAATGCGGCAAAATCGAGAGCGTGCGCGTAGTCCGCGATGCCAAGACAAGAGTCGGAAAGGGTTTCGCCTACGTCCAGTTCGTAGATGAGAACGGCGTCGAAGCCGCGCTGCAACTCAACGAAAAGATGTACCCACCTATGCTCCCTCGCAAACTCCGTATTACACGTTGCAAAGCGGAGAAGAAGAACAAGGAGAAGCCGAGAGGCCCACCGCCATCCAAGGCACCCAGGCCGGGCGGCAACCCTGGTGCCGGTTACAAGCAGAAGTTGACTGAAGAGCAAAAGTCGATGCAAGGACGTGCTAGATCGATGCTGGGCAAGGTCGCCAAGGCACAAACAAAAGAGGGTTTCGTGTTTGAAGGCCACAGGGCGAGTGAGAGGCAGGGCAAGAGTGGGCTCAAGTTCAAGGGCAGCGGCGGCCAAAAGAAGGGTGCCAACGGACGAAAGAGCAGAAGTGCGGGCTGGAAAAAGAACGGTGGCAAAAAATAGACTGGCCTGCGTTGTGCATACATCTACTATTCACGAGGCTCAGCCTGCGAGCATCGGAGCTGTCCGTTCCAGACAGCTATCGTCGCGTTTAATCGATACATTACATGCGCGTCTTTACCTCGGAGCTTGCGTGTCTCAACCTAATCTGTGGATCTGCTGACCGGCGAAGATGCTATTTGAGAGCTTAGGAAGATACTAATATGGGTGTCACGAAGCTGGTATGTGAATATGTTTACTAAGGATATGTTGACTTGCGAACATGCTGACATAAGGTTCGCGAAGCTCGCGCGTAAAGAAGCTCACGTTCGGACTAGTGGCTAAGCAAAAAGGTACGTGAACTTAGTCTCGCGACGGAGAAGGGTGTAGAGAAAGAAGAGAAGGACAAGTGGTAGCTTGATCTGACTCGACCAGACTAGAGCGCGAGTTGTAGAAATGCGGGCATAGCCACTTAGACAACGCAAGACATATACTAACATCTACATTTGCAGGCACATAACACAGACTGTCCGACGAGGAGAAGCGACTCATGCCCCCATCGAGACAACCGTACTATCATGCAGAAATGGGAATGGAATTTCTGATAAGTATGAGTATCCGTTGAACATGATACTCCTTGGGTATGATCTTCTCTTAGCCAGCTTGCCTTGCTGATACTATTTTGGATCAACACTCAAGATTTATCCAAACTCGAGTACACAAATTTCTCAAACTCGGTCAAGAGCTCGATAGCCTTCTCATCTCCGGTTGGTACAAGCTGAGAGAGATACACTCCGGCGACACCGTTGCTGGGGTCGATCCACTATAGTTTGATGATGAGCCAGAGTCCACATCCACAGTTTGAAGACTTACCCAGTAGCAATTCGGCATGCCCGACCAGGTGAGTGAGTTCAGCCCGCGTCGTTTCGGTACTGCAGTGAGGTTGATCAAGCCTCCAATCCCAAAGCTGACAGGGACATCGTCTGGGACAGTATTCCAGATAGCGTTACGGGACGGCAACGAGTACTCGGCTGGATCGTCGAGGCCCTTGGGTGTCTTGAGCTGAGGCTGGAACATCTCCTTGACAGACTCGGGCCGGAGCAACTCCCCTGTCAGGACACCTTGGTATATTTTGAGCAAGTCGTCCACAGTTGCGAATAGACCGCCCCCTCCAAAATCTGCCTCAACCCTGTCCGGCCAGTAAGGCTGCTTTTGTTCCTGCAACCTCTCACCCACTCGCTCCCAGACTTTAGCCTTTCGAGCTCGCGTCTCTTCTCGCTGGTCGGGATGGAAAGTAGCGTCATTGGCAGACACGACGTCGAAAATATGGCGTTGCATGTACTCGCCAAGCTTCATGGAGGTGATTCGTTCGACCAAAACTCCAGCCCAGTCAATGCCAGGCGAATACATCCATCGTTCACCGGGTTCAAACACGAGAAAGTGGTGGGGGAACTTTTCTGCCTATAGCGCTTGGTGGTAAGCTAGTGGTATTGGCGAGCGGGGTGAGCCAGCTTACGACAGATGTGGGAGGGCCAGGCAGTGGCTTACCCTGAAGCTCTTCGTAGCGGGTCAGGAGCGGATCCATGAATGTATAAGCCATGCCGCTGGAGTGCGTCAACAGTTGCCTGGTCACCAACATAATATGTTGGCAAAACGTGATAAGCCCTTAAACATATCAAGACTTACCGGAGGGTGATAGCCTTCGTTGCGGGCCTGAAGAGGGCTTCATTCTCTTCATTGAAACCGGTCAGAATCTTCGGATCTTTCCACTCGGGCAGCACTTTGGCGATATCGTCATTCAGGTGTAGTAATCCTCTCTCGACGCATTGCATTACAGCAATCGTAGTCACCAGCTTGGTGGAAGAGGCGAGCCAATGCACACCATTGGACTCAGCGTCGTCGGGTTCCTTTTCAAACGCCTTCATGTAGCGAAAAGAACCTTTTGATCACGTCTGGTCAGCAAAACAGAAACAAAACAAGAGACAGGGAAAGGTGGACTCCTAGGTACCATACCATTTTTGCTGATGGCGCCAAGTGTAACTGGAGGGATAGGCTGCTTGTTTTCCTCAAATCGATGACGAAGAGAATTGAAGGTTTCATCGAAAGAGGCCATGGTTGGAGGATGTTCTCGTGGTAAGAAGAGGGTTTGATTTCTCTTTATCTTCATAAGAAACCGCGTGGTGCTGTCCCGTCTTATACTGTACGTGAACTTCATTAGCTTGGCTTCTTGCGCACAGCCCTGGGCGTTGCATAAGTGGCTATTGAATTATTGTGCGGAGGTATGCTAGTAACATGGGCCCGATTACTGATCTAGAGCGGAATAAACCCACGGTCGGCGACATGGGAAGCATGAAATCAATATCAGCTCCAGAAACACCAGTCCTGACGGACATTGTATTGGTTCTTTGTCCTGACAGCACTAAACGGCGAAACGATCAAGCGGGGCAGAAGGATCACTTCGGTCTAATGACTCACTCCGGAGCTTCTCATGAATCGGGTCAACACACATAACGGCATGATGATTACGAACCACCTTGGCAGATCGCCACCGTTCATGTCATAGCCGACTTGATGGACCGCATGAACCTAGACCGCGGCTATCTCTTCAATGGTTTCGGGTTTGGAAGAGGTGAACTTGGACTTGTGCCTAGAGACAAACCGGACTTCGTTAAGGGCGTAATGGTCTGATACCAGCAGAGGAGCTGCAAGAGATAGTATTGTTTAAGAATGTGATCGCTGAGTCTGGCCGTATCTTGGTCTCTACCTCCTGTTCAGCTTCCAGCCTGTATTTACTCTAGACTCATTAGGCAGCAGCCACATCGCTTGCCATCTTCAAGATGGCGTCCTTTTCGCAGAACTCAACCACCTTTTTGATCTTTGATCCATCCTCATTGAAGTACAAGAACCAAGCACCCTCAAAAGGGTACGTCTCTCCACTGCTCCTAACATACACGTCGGATTTAGCTGTGAAGGCTGCGCTGCGTGCCTCCGTGTCGACGATCAAATTCGACATGATGTTATCCTTGAACGACAATACTTTGATGTCATTCCCGAAGAGGTCCTGGAAACTGGTCGTGTCGAAGAACGAGTCTGTTGCAAGACCGAAAGCTTTGGGTACGGATGCGGGAAGTAGGTGACGTGTGCAGTCGGCTGTAACGTCGCGATTGATAATAGAAGGGTTGCTCTGAGCTGCGCCTTCTTCGAATGCTGATAAGAAGGCCCGAGCTGTTGCCTCAATTTGTTCTCTGAGGTTCGGTGTGGAAGGAGTTGAAGCCATGTTGGAGGACTACGGTAGAGTTTCGTACGAACTGAAGATGGAGGTGTAGATGGTGGAAAGTAGTGGAGATATTGACTGCATATTGGGTTGCACTTGACGCCTACTTATGTTTCGCGCGTACCTGGGTAGCATCAGCGACTGTCTACCTCAAATTCCCGAGGTCGCCAACAGTCCTTCGCGGCGGTACACGTAAGTCCATGGCTTAACGCCGTCCTTTGGATGATGCTTACTTAACAAGAATAGATCATATCATCTTGAGTACTGCCTTCCAAGACCTCCGTTGAGGGTCGACATCAGAGTGCGATGACATTTTCTCCCGTTTCGGCCTAGTGCGTTTGAGCCACGGAGGATCTTCGGCCGTACCCGTGGACCTGCAGTCTAGCTCTAGCTCCACCCGATGACATTATCGCCCTCTTCAGCCTAGCTCGCAGCTTGGGGCCTAAGCATCCACACAGCCCGAATGATGCTTCTCCTTTCAAATCAGCAATTTGAAGGTACCGCACCTGTAAACTAAGCCCAGATTTCGATATGAAGAGGCGGTGTGAGCCTTCTCTCAAGCTTATCCCCGAGAAAGCATGCTAAAGCGTACGGTGATTTCTAAGTCGTGTCTTTCTTGAGCGACGCTGTCTACGAATGAGACCAAGATGTCGCGTACAGAGCTTGGGTGAGTTGAGTAAATAAATGATTCATTTGCCCTTCCTTCCGTCCAAACTCAGAATCCAATCCCTCAAGATCTTATCAATCCAGCTTACGCCATCTACGCAAGTCATATCTTCTGCCTTTATCCCTCCCAGCATCCCGCCAACACAAGAATGCCTCATTACGATGAAGCTCATGCTAAGCCGAATGGCCCTGGCGATGCGCGCCCAACAGCCTTGCAGATCATCAAAGACGAGAACCTTGAGAACAAACTCAAAGGTGAAGTCATTGTCATCACTGGTACCTCCTCTGGCATCGGCATCGAAACCACTCGTGCCCTGGCCACCACTGGCGCCATTCTCTTTCTCACGGCCCGAGACACGAGCAAAGCCCAATCCGCCCTTGCTGATATCTTCGAACCTTCGCGTATGCACATTATCGAGATGGACCAGGCAAACCTCTCTTCCGTACGTGCCGCCGCCGCCGCCATTCTTACCAGGACTCCTAAAGTCCATCTACTCTTGAACAATGCCGGCATTATGGCAATTCCCGACTATCGCCTTACGGCAGATGGCCACGAACTTCAATTCGGCACAAATCATCTGTCACATTTTCTGTTCTACAAGCTTCTAGAGCCCGCTCTTCTCGCAGCCGCCTGCTCCAGCCGCCCATCTCGTGTCGTCTGTCTCGCTTCCTCAGCGCACAACGTCTGTGGGATCAACGACTCCAACAACTACAACTTCCAGAAAGACCATTACGACCCCAGCGTAGCGTACGCCCAGTCAAAAACTGCAAACATATACATGGCCAACGAGATTGAGCGCCGCTATGGCTCGCGCCATCTACACGCCACTAGCGTCCATCCCGGCCTCGTTCAGACGGGGCTGACGCAGCATATGCCCCCGGACGCATTCAAAGGCATGGAACATTTGTATCCTACCATGAAGAGCGTCGAACAGGGTGCTGCAACATCGGTATGGGCGGCGATCGGCGAAACATGGAAGCACAAGGGCGGCAAGTACCTCGTCGACTGCGCTGTTGCGGAGCCATACAAAGAAGGCGATGACAAGTACACTGCACTTGGTTATGCTCCGCATGCTTACGATGTGGAGAAGGCGGAGAGGCTGTGGAACGACTCGCTCAAGCTTGTGGGATTGCCGAGTGATGAGTGAGCGTTCAGAAAGGGACAGCAGTGATAACCCAGTGTACAATTAGACACATGATACAAGTTCTATGAATACATCCATGCGCATTAGCACACCGTACTTGATCTTATCACCGGCCATAGTTCTCATTGTGAAATCGTGATATCGAATATTGCACTGGTAGATCATGCTCGATTCGCGTTGGGAGGTGTTCGACATGTCGACTAATCTTCCATCAAAGGAAGACGCAAAGGTTCCTCTCCCCTCATCAACCTCCAGCGGTTACTAGATACAAGCAAATCGTCGCATCCCTGTACGGCCCATGACCACTTAGCCAGAAAGCCAGGGGTAGCCTCCCAACTCTTCATGTCGTGCGGCTCACCCCAAACAACGAGTCCCTTGCGACCCGCAGTAACCTCATCCTCATCACGTGCTACTACTGCGGTCGGCGGTTTTGACACAACCTTAGGGTCAGAAACCTTGATAGCAAGAGGCATACCTCGTCGCTCTTGGATCGGCGTAGCACCCATGAGCTCGCCAATGAGATCCTGCAATAGCTCCCAGGGATCGAAGAGTCCCTCATGCCTGATGAGATTGTCGCGCACTGAAGGAAAAGGAAAGAGGTTGATCCAGAAAGAGTGCAAACGCTCTTGCTGGATGCGAGTCGGGAAGAGTGAAGGGGGTATATTGGGATTCAAGGGATAGATGTTCGTGTCGTCGATGTAAGGAAGGCTGATGGGACATGTGGTTGGGGAAGGAGGCATATCGTTTGTCCACCCTGTAAGAAGCGCGTTTAGAGTACGCTTGTTTGATACAAATGCTCGAAAGACGTTGTATTGAACTAGGTGAAGGAGGTGGTCCGTAGAGAGGGGAAAGACCATGGACGGGGGTGTTAGCGTAGTGGGAGCTTGACCCTGAGTGTATGCAGGCGGCTTCCAGAGGTCTACTGTGCGATCAGGAATGGATATCGATGCGTTGATTGCCACATCTTGAGCAGTGGGCTCTGTGGAATGGGATAGACTTTCGTCAACTTCATCCAGGCGCCAGCGCTCAATTTGGAACGGGCGCGACGTCTGAACAGAATCTGGGGTTTGCTTTTTGTTTCGCAGTCCTTCATCGAGATGAGCTCAGCCAAGGGCGAGATGCTTAAGACCAAACTCACGATGCGCCCTTTGGTTCTTTCGGTTCTGGACTTTCCTGCGCTGCTTGTTGGCCTCGGCTTCGATGTTGGTGGGTTGATACTCGACCCTGTTCGCTTCGCTTTCGGCTGAAGGAAGTGGGGTGACGAAGTGTTCCATGATTGAGCGTTAAGAACAGCCCGTCTTCTGTTGATGGTCGGTTGGTTGATTCCTACACGGTTACAGCCGCGAATTCCGCAGCTATGCCCTGATGACAGGCGTGGCGGTGCGGAGATTGATCCGCGCCGCCCCACTTCATTCGGGCAGCTTCAACCTCGAGAGAGGAGACCGGTTCAACAGCTTCCACTTTGAGCAGGACACTCTTGTGTTGAGACGCGCCGCCAGATCATCAAAGGATGACCCCAACGTCAATACACCAAAGAAGCCACCATAGATCAAGATCACAAGAGCCGTATTCGTTGTTGCGTATGTGATAGACGACAAAGGCATCGAGGAGATGGACCTCGACATGGAGCAACTGTGGGAGGAACTGTTGGTCCAATGTTCACCACGCAAATTTCTGACTGCGCGTATGCGATCTGCTCTACGTTCGTAGAAGTCTTTTGAATTAAGATGTCTAGCGCATATACACTTAGCAAACGGGAGAGACTTCAGACGAAACACAACCTTGTCAAGAATTACCGACGGACCGCAGATGCATGAAGCATGACATCAGAATTGTGATAAATGGCCACATATTTGCCAGGTTGGTCACCTCAACACGGTTTGTGTGGTAATCGTCGAATATTGTGCTTTTTGTAACCCTTGTAGGATTTGGCAATCAAAGGTGCCCGTGAAACCTTGATAAGTTTATCGCACACCGGCAGCCATGGACTGCCGTGTTCGGTGGCGGTTCACGTGCAGGAGCAACTAGATTACAGGCCGGTAAGCCCCCATCTCCTGGTAACGACCATGACTGGTGTTGCCACGGTGCGGGAACGCGGGCGCAATGTCGAACGTCTGGGGGATCTGCGATGGGGCAGATGCTAATCGCACATCAACGACTGCAAGAGCCGCACTGTGTAGCAAGATTAAGATGAAACGAGTGTAGTGACGCATGCGTCAGGCACTTCACCGATGTTCCCTTGCCAACTCGCATTGGTTTCATCCGGGGTGTGCTGACGATAAATGCCTGATCCGAAGAGGAACGCGAAACGGACGGCTACGGGTGTCCGGATAAGCCCATGTGGAGCAGTTGAACTAAACTCTAGCAAGAACCCAAGATTACACCACTTATCATTTCGTTATCGAGGCAAAGATTCGGTATTCATGCTGTAAAGAGTGGAATGAAGCGTGGTGCGGTAACGACGAGTTCTGCAAATGCCGACTTCCTGTGAAAGCCCTCGTGTTTTGCACACCAAGCTTGTGGTAAACGAAGGATGAACGCGTGGAGGGGATCATGCACGTCAGCGGAAGATGTAACCTGATTAGATTAACATGATGAGCAATCGAAACTGATACGCTGCGTTTTAGGGCTGGCAGATACGTAGCCGAGCTGGATCGGTACGGTTCTGGTACTTGGGATCACACCTCGCGTAAATGCGACGGCATGAGTGAGGCTTTTGATTGACTGTCGTGGAACATGGACAAATGAAATCACATCATCGCGGTCAGAGTCCAGAACAAAAGCAACCAACAACGGCTGATACTACCCAAACTACCCCCAACATGCCGGCAGAGGTAGGGTTGGGTGTCATTAGAGTTGACGGGTTTGCCGAAGCAGCACGAAGCAAAGATCCGGGCAAGGAGTTAGTGCCCCTTACGTCTGAGTAGTGGTTGCATTATAGATGACATCCGTCTTCAGCCGCGGACGAGAGCACATGTTAGGGATGGGCCGAAGTATCAACAAAGTGGTGTGACTTGGCAGAGCGGCCGAGCCACTGTCGCGGGCCCGAGGCGTGGAGGTTAGGATGACGCAGCGATGTGCGACACAGGAGAAATCGGTGGCTGGTTTTCAGGCTTACCGGTCTTGAGACCAGGGACGATATGCGTCTCGGCTCGAAGAGCCAGGTTCCCAGTCCAGCTTGAGCATTTCCTTTGTTTTGTACAGTTTTTCCCGTGCGAAGCAGGGTCTGACGATCACAAGCTTGGACGTCGAAGTGGAGGCTGGGTCTGACTTTGGCCCACTTGCATCTGCATTCTGTTGTGCTTACGCTACAGCTGATGTGACGGCGGTGCACATATGCAGGTCTGAAGAGAAGGGAAGAAATGAGGTTTGCTCACGTGGTACTCCATGACATTGAGCTATCCAGATCATGCTGGATGGGTTGAGACGGAGGCGAGACAGGAACTGGGCCAATAGACGTAGGAGGCGGCTTTTAGTCGAGCGCGTCCAGACGTTGAAGGCTATGGAAGGTAGCTGCGCAAACGACTCCTTGTTCGATGCGGAGCGTTCTGCTGGGAATTGCTGGGAATCGCTGTGGTGGGTTCAGAAGCTAGAGCTCGTTCAGAGTTTGGCGCCTACAGCCCCGACGGATCATCCGTCTGGGGGCACTGGGCGCAATTTCGACGGGGCGCCAATCACCCGCGATATGCCAGCTTAGCTGACGCCTGCAGTTGGCTATACACCAAATTGTCCGATTGTTTTTTAGATCGTGTGAATTGTGATTTGTCTGAACCAGGAAATTCGATATCGCAGCGCGTGTGAGGGGAGGAGGATAGTCCCGGGCGGCGCGGAGGCTGGAAATGCACGTGCCTTCTCCACGAGCGTCACGGGTCGGGTTAGCCTCGGGCTCTTGCATCTCAACCCCGCTCGAATGGCCTACACTCTGCCATCATTCAGCATCAACGTGAAAACTCGAGAATGAAATGGGGAGAGACAGATACGCGCACTCATCTGTGTCGTTCCGTCTGGGAAGCGGCATACCGTCTCGTCGTGACGTAGAGAGATGCCGTGTGTGGCTGCCTTAGACTCACCAGGTATTAAGCGGGTCCCTGCTCGCTTAGCGCGTTGGGCAGGCACGAATAGAAAGCGTCCTCAGCGCCTGCCCTCGTTCCTTCCTCGACGAATCATTTTTCCCTCACTAAAGTTCGCCATCTTCATCTCACTCAAGACGTGTTTGCGCGGACTGGCGCGCGGAACACCACAAGAATTCACCCTAGCTTCTCCGCAGCTCCCAAGGTTGCTTTGCCCCCAAAAGGCACCGCCTGCTCTCGGCTCTCAGCAATTCGCCAGGCCGGACTCAAGACCTGTCTGCATCTCCCACCTGGGCAGCCATAGAACGGCAAGCAGATCACGGGATCCAATCTTCCTGCAAGACGCAAGCACCTGTAAGTCCACTCCGTCGCGCTATGCAACTCGTTATCACCATGTCCGACGATCAAGTCCTTTCAAGCGACGGCGCATCGATTCAGACACTCCCGTCGCCGTCGCAAGACTGTATTACCGTCCCTCGCTATGCTTCTCATTTTCCTTTTCGGCTTACAGGCATGCCGCATGCTCTGGTGCTACACATTCGCGCGCCTTGCCTCCACTTCACATGCTAGAGGCTGACGTCGCATTCAAGGCAACACAAAGCTCACCAAGCCTTTTGTATCCCGCGTTCTGTCCGCTACTTGGACCACGCCGCTGCTAAAGCTGTCATTGCGCAACGACAATATACATTTGTCCGCTCGCTGGTCGCCCTAGATTTCAAACCCGAAGAGCATTCAGACCGGCAATACGACCTTGACGCCCGCCAACTGACGAAACAAGGTAAGCGCACTAGCTCACCGCGCATGCATATGCCAGCGCATCATCCCTTCCAATCGCCCACCCCGCCAGCACAGCGTCCAATGCTCTCTTGATTTGGCTGACAATCATTGTAGGCGACTCTCATCTTCCTCTCGTGACTGGTGAATACCTGCAACGGCTCTTCCCCACTACTACGGCGCGGGCCTCTAGAGTGCAGCTTCATCCTCGACAAATCGCTCCATCATTTGTAAACGCGCACTGCCCCTCGACGTCCAATCACCACTGCTGCGCCTCAAACCTGGAAGCTAAAGCCGTGCGCTCTAGCGAATTCGCCTCAAGCACGCCTGGCCATTGACAGCGCATCAAGTATCGGCCCTGCCGCGACGTGACCGCCTGCCTGTATTACGCGCCTCAACTGCGAGCCTCTCGCTACCTCGTCTTCACGCAAATAGGCCCACAATCTACGCATTGTAGACAGCCATGACCGACTACGCACAATTCCACGGGCATGCGCCCGCGCCCAACCCGCAGCAAATGCAGTTCGGACAGCAGCAGTCGTCCCCAATCCTTCCATCAAATGGAAACTTCGCGCATAACGGCCAACCACATCCCCAGCACCACCCGCAGATGGGCTTCCCTCAGCATCAGGCCTACATGGCTGGTATGCAAAATCCATACATGCCCTCTCAACAGCAACAACACCAACAGGCTGCTGCGTTAGCTACGGCTGCTGCTGCAGGACCAGCCGGATACTACGATCAAACCGCCATCTCAGGTCAACTCGCACAAGACCCACGCGCATCCCCACGCATGTCAGTATCTCAGATGAAGGGCGACGGACGCGCTCCACGATCGCCAACAAACGTTTCCAATGCGATGAACAACGCGCTCCCATCTCAAGTGCAGATGACCCCGACTCAGATGCAACAAAGGCGAATGAGCACTCAAATCAGTAGTCCTGCGATGCAGCAGCCACAGCCTGTTATGAACCATGGCGGCCCCAGACCCTCCGTCCCCCCGATGCCCCAGCAATCGCAGCACCAACAATCGCCCGAGCTTGTTGCTGGCGGTGCACAACCAGAAGAGGCGCCACTCTATGTGAACGCGAAACAGTTTCATCGCATCTTGAAAAGGCGTCTCGCGCGACAGAAACTCGAGGATGCACTTCGGCTGACATCCAAGGGACGAAAGCCATACCTACACGAGTCTAGGCACAATCACGCCATGCGCCGTCCCCGTGGTCCTGGCGGTCGCTTCTTGACCGCAGAAGAGGTGGCTGCGATGGACAACGCAGCCGGAAAAGGCGAGGGTGAAGACGGCAACAAGGAAAACGCGTCCATGCCTCCCAAGCCTGCCAGCTCTGGCCCCAAGCGCAAGGCATCATCTACACAACTCAAGGGAACACCTACAATCAAGAAGAACAAGGCAGGTGCCGTGCAGCGTCACAGCACGAGCGAAGAGGATGAAGATGAGGACGAAGACGATGGTGAGGATGAAAGCTAGGCTCTCCTTCCGCCCGGGCCTCTGTCCACTACCGTCGATCTGATTTCTATACCCTTTTAATTTCGACACCTGATCTTCTTGAGAGTTCCTCCAAGGAGCTCCCCTTCATTTCACGACTTACGAAGCGAGTGCTTTTGGGACACCCGGTTGGTTTATGCATTTTACCCCTGTTGTCAGATTAATGACACTTTCACACACAAATTGTCTTATCAATGGACTGGGTCGGATTCGGGTCACACATAAGGCAGGGCGGTCGGAGCATACGGCACTCACTCGGATGTTGGGAGTTCTGTTGTTACTTCCTATTTCTCGTCTGCTGAATTGTGGACTATCCTTTGTATCTTTTCATTATCTTTTTTCTTCTTCTTGTCTTGTCTGTTACGATCAATACCCACACTCGCTATCTAGCTTGGCGAAGATACCCAAACCACTGGCCAGGAGAGCCAGTGGCTATACTAGAAAGGGTCTTCCTTCATCGGAGAAAATCAATATCATCCCATTCCCCCAGATTGGACTTTGCGAATGCAAACTGATGTCGCATCCTTGGAGTTCAAGTTGTACGTGACAGGCCACCTCACCAATTCCATGTATGACTTTGTGGTATATCACATTGTGCGTGAAACCGACCTGTCAGGATCGAGTTGTGTTCTCGGGAGGTGTGTGATGTGTATCACAGTCGCATGGCAAAGTCCGATGTTCGCTCAGAGACTGCAGGCCTCTTCTTGTTCACGGCATTTGGACAGCATATACCACTTACCCAAGACTGAGGCTCTGTCTTGCTCACTAGAGCTACGCCACTAGCGGTGTCTACAATCTGCGTCGCATTCAGGAAGATGGCTAAGTGAAAGTATACATTATCTTGCAAACAACTTACTTACTAAAATATAATTGTGTGTATGCAGCAAACCCTTGGAATTGCGACACAAACTCTGGCCGCCCCCGATGATGCCTGCCTCTCTGTATGTCAAGTCCATCTATTCGCAACGTCAGCCTCCTGCCAGACTCGGACGGCGCTTTGACATGTCTGACGACATGTGCGACAAGTAAATCTATGATAGCCGCATGCAGATCTCCACATCAGCGGCTTGGTCATTGCTAAGTAATCTGCTGCGGAATTATCGTGCGGAACCGCGCCTCGGTAAGCAACGGAGCCCTGGAGATCTGCACCTGGGAAAGTGCGGAGCTTCTGCAGCCGGATATGTACACCAATTTGGATTGTGCTACGATAAGCACGTTCTGGCTCTTTCCACAGGCGACCTACATGATGAGCTTTTCGTCGCAGACTCCTGCTACCCCTCATCCCCTCCAATCGCGAGAACATGAAGAAGAGTGCAACCAGCCAACAGTCAACGGACGAGTCCATCCGAGAATTACACGACCAACAGCACGATGAGATTGACGATGGGGAAAGAGATAGGATTGAAGAAGAGTGGCGTAACAGTATCCGCCTAAAGGTCGACCTTCGACTTTGCAGCATTGCTGGCATCTTGTGCTCGCTCAATCTACTTGACAGCGGCGTCATCTCTAGCGCATCCGTCACCTCTATGCTCAGCGATCTGGAACTAAATGTCGGCAACCGATACTCTGTTTCCATATTTATCTTCACGATCGCGAGCATTGCCTTCCAGCTACCATCGACAATCGCCGTGCGCACCTTCGGACCGCGTATCTGGTTTGCCTTCATCACCTTCTGTTTCGGCATCATTACGCTGTGCACAGCTTTCGTGCAGACATGGCGACAGATGATCGCGCTACGCATTCTGCTCGGAATAGCTATGTCGGGAATTTATCCCGGCTTGACGTATCTCATCTCAACATGGTATACACGGAAAGAGCAACAGCTTCGCTTTGCTCTGATGCAGAGTGGCGAAGTCATTGTCTTGGCAACCGGTGGCATCGTTAATTTTGGACTGAATCAGCTCGACGGCAAATATCTCAAGGGTTGGCAGTGGATGTTTGTTGTAAGTGATATCCGTGTGCAAATTGATGTGAGACAGATATTGATTCCATCTACCAATCTTTAGGTACAGGGTAGCATTACTGCGTTCTTCGGTATTTTGACATATTGGTGGATGGTCGACTTCCCAGAGCATGCCCAAAACTCCTTCTACTTCCTCACGCCCCACGAAAGTGCACTGGCGTCTTCTCGAATCGACAACGACAGAGGCGATGTCAAACCCGACGACTTCGCATGGTCTAAAGTCTTCGTTCACGCCAAGGATTTGAAGGTGTACGGGTTCTGCACCCTTTACTTCCTGCAGAACCTCGTCTCGACATCGCTGTCTTACTTCCTACCTATCATTCTACAAACCGGCATGGGCTTTTCTTCAAACAAAGCGATTTTGCTATCCGCTCCACCTTACTACTACGCTGTTATTCCCGCTATCCTGTCCTCGATCGTCGGCGACAAGTTCCAGTTGAGAGGGCCTATTATAGTCTTTAACTGCGTGTCTTTGATTGTAGGTTTCTGTATGCTGGGTTTCTCGGACCAGGTCACCGTGAGGTATATAGGCACCTACCTTGCCACCGGAGCGTACGTGGCGAATTGGGCGGCCATGGCGACTTATCAGGCGAACAACATTGTCGGCCAGTGGAAGAGGGTTTTTACTGCCGCAATGGTCACAGCTTTCAACGGCGCTGGCGGTATCGCTGGAAGCTTCATTGTGAGAGCACCAGAAAGTCCGAGGTATATGACGGCCATTTGGGTAAGCATAGGAAGTCACCTCTTGATCATTGGATTGGTGGGAGTGTTCTCGGTGTTTTTCTACATGGCGAACAAGCGGCAGACTAGGGGGAAGCGTCTCCTAGAGGGAACAGAAGGTTTCCGGTTTACGTACTGAGTGAAGGGCGGAATGTGGTTGAGCTAAGGCAGACGCTAAGAAATATCTACTCTACCAATACACCGTGATGCTTGGTTCTGGTTGAGTTCATGTAGTCTTTCGAACTTGTCATGCAGGTAGTCGTCCGCCGGCATGCTTGACAAGTCGCAGGAACATGGGATGAAAGCGGGTTGACGTCGTCGGTGGGGACGACCGTATGGGACAGTTGGCTCGTGCTGAGTCCTCACTTGCATCGTCGAACCAACTCGCAGCTGCCTCACCACTTCCGCTGCTACAGCACGAGCGATCCCGCAGTCCCGGCCTACCGCCCCAAGCAACCCGTTCTATTCGAATCTCGCTGTTTTCTGCTTCTCTAGCTGCTGGCGCCGACTTGGTAGCGTCACGCAGCTTCCCCCTGTCCAGCTGGCCCCTCGACCGGGCAACAGCACCCCCGTGGCCCTCCGCCGAGCTTATGCGCATCGACGCCGGCCGTACACACATTCAGCAATCTACTTCACCACACCATACACGCTTTTTGAGACTGCGCCGCACGTGTAGCCGCCACAATGGTGTTCCTCGGCATATATCGCGCCATCTACGACTATGAGCCCCAGAGCGACAATGAGATCGCCCTAAACGAGGGCGACATCTTGATGGTGCTGGAGAAGTCGACCATCGACGCCTGGTGGAAAGCAAAGAAGAAGGGGCGCGATGGCGACGAGGAAGAGCCCGAGGGCTTGATCCCGAACAATTACATTGAAGAGGTATGCTGCGCCTCACCCCGATGACAGCCCAATCCGCGTCGCAAACCATGCCCAACGCTGCACCAGGCATTGTGTGGAATGCTGCAGCACAGAGACTGATGATACGTGTAGGCCGCCCCAGTCGCACAAGCCAAAGCCCTCTTCGATTACGACCGCCAGACGGACGAGGAGCTGTCGTTCAAAGAGGATGCCGTCCTAGACGTTTACGATACCACCGACCCGGACTGGACACTGGTGGGAGTCGCAGACGACTATGGCTTTGCGCCCGCGAACTACATCGAGCTCACTGAAGAGGGAGCCGCGGCAGGAGCACCAGCTGCGCCATCTCCCGCGCTGCCTAGTCGCCCGCCCATGCCACCAGCGACCGACTCTTTCGACGACGATCAGCCGCCTACTCCAGACACGCCTCCACAACCGAGTCCGGCTGCGGCCCTGGCTGGCATCATACAGAAGAAGTCGCAAGAGGCAGCACCGCGATCGACTATTTCTCCTCCGCCCAACGTAAGCGCGCCTCCGCGACAGCAACGACGCGTGCAATTTACCCCGGAAGAGTCGGACGAAGAAGTGCCAGCACCCCGTCTTCCCCAGCGACCCGAGTCCGAGGTCTACTCACCGCCGCTTACCCAATACGCACACGCGCGATCCCCATCGCCCCCAGTCAGATCGCCACCGCCCCGAAGCGTCACGTTCGACCAATATGATCCTCCGAGCAGGGACGAGCAGCCCGCGACACCCATGTCGGGGTCGGGATACCATTTGTACAACATCTACGAGTACATTACACAGCCGGGCAAGAATAAGAAAATGCCAATCACCCTGGGTGTCAACATCCCGAAAGGAATGATCATGATTGCACCCGAGAAGTCGCGCGACGGGCCGCAACAGGAATGGAGCGCGGACAAGATGGAATACTACTCGCAAGAAGGCAAACACATCTTCATGGAGCTTAAGCAGCCAAGCAAGAGTGTCGACTTCCACTGTGGTGCTAAAGACACTGCATCGGAGATCATGCTCGCGCTTGGTGAGCTTGCAGGAGCGGCCAAGAGCGCAGGACTCCGCGAAGTACTCGCTGCTGGCTCCGGAAACTCTAATGTGCAGAAGAAGGGAGTTATGCTTTTTGACTTCATGGCACAGGGTGATGACGAAGTTACCGTTGGTCTCGGCGACGAGATCTTAGTCCTCGACGATTCCGCAAGTGACGAGTGGTGGAAAGTCAGGCGGCTGAAGAATGGCAAAGAGGGTGTGGTACCAGCTAATTACGTTGAGGTCACAGAAACCGTCCCCATACACGCTCCCGCAGCTGCCATCGCTCGATCGGGAACCAACGCTGGCCGATCCGTCGTCGAACAGAATAGGCGGGAGGAGGAAGAGCTTGCTCGTCAGGCTGCGAGACGGAAGAAGCCAGAAAGTGAGGCAAGGAACGATCAGGTAGGCCCTGGCCTGCACTTGCCTTCGCGTAACTCTAGTCTTATGCAAACAAACGTTGACCATCGTCGTACTTCACAGAGATCAAGCAAGCGCGAAAGCTCCGCAAAGGACTCGAGTTCAAAGTCCGGCTCCAAACCAAGTCAGTATACAGCAATTTCACTACTTGAGTTTCTTGATCTGTCTACTGAAAAGGGTTCTGCGCCGTTCGTGGGCGCTGAACATCTACCTAGTGGGACAGCAGAACGCGCATTGTGTACAAGGATGCTGACCAAATTTCTTAGATTCCGCCAAGGTACGCACTTGGACCGACCGATCCGGATCGTTCAAGGTCGAGGCAGAGTTCATTCTTATCAAGGATGGCAAGATCCACCTACACAAAGTCAATGGCGTCAAGATCGCTGTACCTGTCACAAAGATGTCAGTAGAAGACCTCGAGTACGTCGAACGCGTCACAGGCGAGTCTCTAGATGACGACAAACCCCTATCGGATTTGAAGAGGAGGAGCATGCAACAGCCTCGTGGGAAGGACTCAGGTCCAACCGGTATTTCCGTCGAGAAGAAGCCGGAATACGACTGGTTCGACTTCTTCCTCAAGTGTGGTGTCAACCCACAGATCTGCGAACGGTACGCCAGGGCATTTACCAAGGACGAAATGACGGAAGAAAATATACCAGACATCACTCCTGGGCTGCTACGTACATTGGGTCTCAAGGAAGGTGACATTCTCCGTGTGACCAAGCACTTGGACGCGCAGTTCGGAAGAGATAAGCGAAGTGTTAGCTTTGCTGAAGAGGGAGGAGAGGGAGCTTCTGGTGGACTGTTCTCAGGTCCAGGAGGTGCACTGAGAAACAACACCCGAAAGGGACGTCCTGCACCACCAGTTGAGACGAACGATGTCGTTGATCCAAAGGCGTTTGAACCGAAGTCCGATGACACCGTTAAGAAGCCCGCAGACGGGACGTCAGCAGCGACATCTGACAAGACAGCGAATGGGTTTGACGACAATGCGTGGGATGTCAAGCCATCCAAGTCAACATCTGACAAGCCAGCATCTCCACCTGCAGCACAAGCCCCTGCCGCAAAACCACCCCAGCTGACTGGATCCATGAACGATTTGTCTCTTCTAGACATGCCTGCACTCAAGCCTGACGAGATCGCGCAGCCAACGCCTCCTGCTCCCGCACCTCAGCCAGCACAAGCACCTGCTCAACAGCCTCCAGCACCCGCTCAGCAACCGCAGCCAACAGGCGCTACTCCTACCCTTTTCGAGCAGGTTGCAGCTATCAAGGCCCTTACCCAACCTCACAACATGGCTCCACCGCGCATGCGCCCACAAGCTCCCCAGCAGCAGGGTCCTGGAGGTCTCATCGCTCCACCACCGCAGCGTTCTTCCTCTGCCCCTATGAACCCACAACAAAGTGCCTTCGGTCCCCCACCACCCCTACAACCTCAGCTCACAGGTTACAACCCCAACCTCATGGGTCAAAACTCTGGACAAGGCCAAGGCATGCAGGGTATGCCACCAATGCAACAGCAAATGACAGGCTTCCCACAGCAAAATGGCGGTTTCGGATTCCAGCAGAACGGCATGATGCCTCAACCTACAGGCTACAACCCCATGTCCCCACCCCAGCAGCAGCCAATGCAGACTGGCTTCGCCCAATACCAACAACAGCAGCCGACTGGCTTCCAGCAGCCCATGCAGACAGGTTTCCAGCAGCAGCAGCCACACTTCACACAAGGCTTCGGGAATGGCAGCCCTTTTGCCGATCCACCACGGGCACCTTTCCAGCCACTACAGGCTCAGCCTACGGGGTACAACTCGTTCCAACCATCGCCGCTTAACCCCCAGGCGACTGGCGTCAACCGCTTCCTGCCTCCGGCCCTTGCGCCACAGCCGACTGGCTACATGTCGAACCAAAGCCCGCCGCCTGTCCCTCCCATGCCGCCAATGCCCCAGGCGCAGCCTTTGGTGCCCCAGAAGACTGGCCCACCACCGACCATCAAGTTTGGTGTACAGCCCGCAAAGAAGCTAACGCCCCAGCCGACGGGGAGGGCGAACCTTGCCAATGCTAGTAAGTGTTCGAAAAAATATCTATGCAAGACCTCTCTAACCGTTGACCAGCACCCCAAAACCCGTTCGGCTTCTAATCTCGCTCGCGGTGGCTGTTTGTTCTTTCGCACCCCTTTGCTTACCTATGGGGCATCCACTTAATTACCCTGATACTGTATATGTACATAAGTTCTACCGTGCCTGTTTGTTGTTTGGCGGAGTGGGTTCGCAAGGCTCGATAGCATTCTTCATCAAGCCACATAGCATTTGCTTGCACTTAGTACTCCCAATTACCTGCTTCGCATTGCCCTCATTGCTAGCATTTTGCCCTCTGTAGCCATTTCTTCAAATTGAGTGAACCTTTAGTTCAAATGTTGACGTGGTACTATCGGTCCGGCAATGGTGTGGTCTAGACTGCGGCTGACATGCGTGGCGTGATGGCTGAGTTGCTCAGAGGATTGGCGGGGAGATGCAGTCTCGATAATACGTGAACTTTTGCACGTCAACTAACCTTGGAATACTTTTAACAAGGCATTGCGATAACAGACGTTGCACACGTTACATGTGCAGGACGAATCACCCCTGTTCTCGAGCTGTCGTTCACCCTTGGCGCGAGGCAGATGCGAGACCAAGCCTTTGCCAAGTAAAGCTTAGCCTGACACATCAGGTGGCACGATATCCCTGCGATGCATATGTGGCTGGCTAGCTAGCTAGCAGGCCGATTCGATGTCGTATCCACGCAAAACCGCGCACGCGTCTGTGGCTCTGCTCATCGAGTGATGCCAGACCTTGCGCTCACCGTAAAGTACGTGGATAGACCTCGGCCAACTACATCATCATCGCAGCTTCGGCCATAACTCAGCCACGCCTTGAGATCCCCCGATATCGCGTTGGCACTGTCAAAATGCATGACAAGCATCTGTGGCGATGACGAAAGCCCACAGCATGTCTCGCGCCCCCGGCTTATTTGCGCCAATAGCCCGGCGCACAGCCGGGCAGCGAATGTGGCTCAGGCTAACTAGCCCAATAGACCGGCCGAGTGATGCGTTGCCCTGTCCGCGTGAGAAAGAGGGCGCGAACGAGCGCGCTGCAGATTAAAGGCGGCGCATCCCCTCCCCAGACTGTAAGAAGGGTCCACTGTATTTCCTCCATCCATATACTCACTTTACTTCTGACTTTACCTTGACCGTTGCGCAACGACTTTGAACGGTGACGCGGGTTTTCCACAAGCGAGAAATTAAGATTCGGACGGCTCCTCGGCGAAAGCTTGGTTTGGGGATACGAGACTCGGTTGCGCGACTGCTGCTTGCCTGATTCACCATTACCAGCTGCCTTTGTCTTACCTCCATCATCGACCAACGAACGAGCAATTTGCGAGCACGTATTGAATTAATCACGAGCGCGACTTCTGATCCGCACTTCCCATCCTTACGAACATCTCAAAGGCCGTTTTAAATCAACATGTCGAACCAAGGCTACTACCAAGGCGGGCCTCAGCCTCAGTACCCACAACAAAGGTACGCTTCCCACGACCGTCTACAAGGACTGGCGCTATCGCGCAAAGCCGCGCGCACACCCAATATCTCCTGCGATCGCAAAAGACATCTACGCAGTTAAAGAGTGAACAAGTGCTAACTCCATCACAGCTACGGTCCCCCAGGCGGCGGCTACGGCCAACCCCAACAATACGGCGCTCCACCACCACAACAGCAGATGTACTACGGTCCTCCGCAAGGACAATACCAACAGGCGCCACCCCAACCAAAGCAGAAGAAGGACAGAGGATGCTTGGCGGCTTGGTAAGTGGGCACGATATACTCGGGGCTTGTACTTTGGCTAACGGAAGACTAGTCTGGCGACACTGTGCTGTTGTTTCGTGTGCGAAGAGGGTTGCGAGTGCTGCGCTGATTGCTGCGAGTGTGCGGCGGAGTGCTGTTAGACGGATAATGGGGGGTTAGCTGGATGGGCCAGACGGGGTGGTGGTCGGCACCGGTATTGAGTTGAAGGTGCGCATGGGGAATATGCGGTTGGGTTGTGATGGCATGCGCATGAACTCTTGCCGTTTTCCTTCTGTTTTTAGTATACCTGACCGCTTCTGGTCTTTCTTATCGTATTCAATCCACGGCTTGTCTATTCTGATGAGGCAGGTCCAATTCGAGCCCGTTTCCTCGATATATGATGGCAGAAGTTATTCGCATTCGTCTCTTTTGATGGAATTACTTGGCACGACGAGAGATAAGTCCAGGATCTTGTTAGTGCATGTCCTTCGTCATCATCGGGAGCTCCAAATCTCACTGCCGGTCGAGGTTTGGTGAACGATGTGCGACAGCGCAAGCACCTTCCTGTTGAAGATTCTAGTTTCTTGTAGCCACTCCACCCACCTCAAAGTCCCGACATCATGTTCTACCCTCTTTCTCGCCATTCGACAACCTTTCTCCCGATCTATAGCCAGAGACTTACTCTGCGCAAAGGTCTGCGCCCTCCACGAAAAAACACAAGATCGGATCGTATTAGATTGGGTGAACGCCCATGCAAATGAAACAAACGCTGGAACAAACGCTGAAGAAAAAGCTGCAACAAATGCTGATAAATGGAAGAAGATACTTACCCATTCGGTTTTCTCATTCCGTCTGGCTGCAGTCGTAGGGTGATGATCGTCTCCTTTCGAATGTGTGTTTGGCACCAGACGCCTGAGCGCAAAATGGCCAGATGAACCATGTGTCTCCAGATGCCAGATCGATGTGGTTGATATGCAAGTATCTCAGCTAGACATTGGTCGTGAAAGGTTGTTTGCACTAAATGCAGGTCTTACTCAGTCAGTGTACATCTCGTAGGCAGTTTATACAAGGACACTTACCGCAAAGTGTTCGTGTATCAGCACCCAGCAAAGGCCTCGTTCCCCAACATCCCCAACAAACTCCTGAACAACGACTCGCTGCATAAGAAACCGCCACAACATACCGAACGTTCTCAATAGTGCAGGTAGACCAAAGAGTTGGCGGCCCCACTGTACCAGTCGACCTTAATGTCGTCACCCTCCTTCTTCTTAACCTGGTCAACGAACCTCTGCTTAGTGTCGTTGAGAGGCTCCCTGGTAGGTACTGTGTGAAACCAAGTGCTAGTAATGATACGTTGGCTCATCTCAGCCATCTTGGTATGCAGGTTAACTTTCGTAATCCCCGGGAATGTCTGTCGCAGGAGTTTGCGGAAACCGTCCTTGTAGAGGCTGTAGTAGCCGAACGGCATGTCCACTGAGACGATGAGACGTCTCTGGCCGAGTGGGCGGCCCAGGATCCATCGGTCACATGTGTCCAGATTATCGAATCCGAAGTTGTTCAAGCTGTAGACCATTGCCGATGACTCAACGTACATTTGACGGCATACTTTGGGGACCGCAAAAGTGGGTTGGACAAAGCTGGACGAAGTATTCGGGCCTTTGGTCAGAGGGTGCGTGACATGCGTGAGCCTGATATCCCATCTTCGAACGCACGAGTAATCATGGATGTCGACTTGGTGATAGCCAACAGCATACTGCCAGATCTTGTTGCGGATTTCTGCCGGAAGACTGAGAAGCGGAGACTGGATGGAGTTGGCTTTGGCGCTGTTGTGCGTCAGCTTTTGTAGGGAGTACATCTTGGAGTCGCATCTACATCTTCATCAATTCTGAACGAGCAGGAATCTCGGCTTTCATCAACCCGTTCATGTACCTGCGACCAGGTTGTTTGGGCTTGCGGACTGTGGGAGCTTTCTTCTTGACGACCTTTGTACGTTTCGAGGAGATTGTGTGATCTTTCGGCGCCGCAGAACGAGCGGGCAGTTCGGGTGAGCCCATACTTGAGGCTCAATATGGTCTTGTTGCGTGTGAAGAGAGCGTGTGATTGAAGGAGAACAAACTCAAGAGAGCTTGATAACTGCAAGATCGGAGACGTGCGCATATTGGGCGATGAAATGAACGATGAAAGATGGGACATGTGCGAAGATTGATCTAGATGAATTATCCGCTTTGAGACTGGTGAAGCCCGTACGTCGACCAATATGAAAAGTGATGGTGAGAGGAACGACGGGTTGCCGGCGCCAGCGACTAACGCTTATCTAGAAACCTCACCGCGTCTCGAAGGTATCTGGCACGGTGATTGCTGGTGATACAACTGCCTGCTCTTGTATTAGGAGATGATGCGACTCATCATGCGCACATGTAGTGTCGGTATCCTCATCTGCGACCTGTGAATGTAACGGACACCACGACTCTCCGCGCTAAGGTCAATGAGAGACAGTTCATCCATCGTTCCGTGAAACTCTCTGCAATAAAGCTCTTGGGTACCTAAGCGGGATGTCATATAGGGCTTGGGATTGGAGAACCATAATTGAGCGGTTGAAAAGACTTCGATGGAGGCATCTTCAGATGTAGTCTAGCCATTTCTGTATCAAGATGACGTCAGAGAACTTGCTGTCTCCCACCTCTGCACCTGGGCAGAATCCGGCCATGTCCATAAAATACAGTAACGACAAATATGTTGTGCTGTCACCACATCTCATTTGTAACCCCCTTTTGGCAGTCATCGCCGTATCCAATTCTTTCAGACCCCCCGGAGGATATTTGTCCCAGCAACACCGACATGTGTGTACTCCGTAACGACAATCTTCAGGCCATTCCTCTCCCTTTGCAACAGTACTTTAGTCCTCTCCTGAATATCCTGCTCAATCTGGTCGGCCGACCAACCATTCATTTCGCAAGAAAACCGGGCGTTCCATAGGTCGACGTAAAGCACTTCAAGGTGTGGGAATAGGTCTGTGAATCTGCAGGATGACTGCTCGAAGTATGCTCGTTCAAAAGAAATTGGAGTCTTTAGCACCTTGATTTGCCGTAACTGTATGGGGAGGCGGCTTGATGTCCAGATTCTCAGGGCGTTCATTGACGTGAAGCCGAAGGAGTTCAGGGCGTATGGTAACAAACAAGTCTCGTCGTACATCTGTCTGCAGACAAGCGATAGTAACGGGTACGATTCCGCTTCTTCATCTTCTACAAGCGCCTTGTTCAGTCCCCCATAGCAGACTTTTGTTCTCAAGATGATATCCGCAGTCAGGGTGAGGACAACAAAATCGCGTATCTGCAGACATGGCTTCTGCAGAATCATGGTGAAGACAGTATTTCGCAGTTCTGCCGGCAAACGAAGGAGTGGCGACGCGCTCCTGTTTCTCTCAGCACTTCCGTGAGTTAGCTTGTGTCACCGTGGGTGCATCGTTCGTAGCTCACATAAGGCAGACAGCCAATTTGCTTGTGTTGAGGAGACCATGTTCTGTGAGACCCAGCCGTACATGGCTCTCGACTGTGTCTCCCTCTTTACAGAGGCGCATAACGGGCGGAAGTGGACTCATAAGGGGCGTGGTTGTGTCGGAAAACGGGGAGAGCGGTGTTCTTAGGTAGAAGCTCCGCAAGGAGGGTACGTCGGACGCTGAGAGTGCTACGGGGTTAGGCGAGTAGGAAGCCAGCGACCCATAGATGTGAGTGTTCGGAAGGCACGCTAACGACACGCTAGGCCTTTACACTCTGGCGTACTTTCTCCGCTCGTATTTGGGTAGCTATTTGCAGTGAAGCCATTGTCCAATACAGTCGTAACAGCACAAGATATTGCCAAATTGTTGGTATTAAGAAGATCCTCCACCTCCAGTCATTAGCGATTGCATAGGGTGCAGGTGACATATACCATATACTAATGTGCCCGATGTTCCAATGGCGTAGTCGGATGTAGCCGGACTCGTAGGTACGTACTACACCACCTAATAGTTTCCTACTTCTAGATCTCATTACCCTAGGTGCTCGATGACTGCTGCATCAGTGAAGCCTAAAGCACGTGCGAGGGGTTAAGTCAGCCGTTGCCCAGGTGACCCACACTGGTCCACTGCACCTGCCTTGAGCTGAAGGCCTGCTCAAGCTATTACTCGCTCTTTCCCACACTCAACACGTCAGCGAGACAAATCCCCAACATCACCATGGTTCGCCGCTCTGTTCGCCTTGCGAAACCCGAAGACCGACCCCAAGACCAAGTTTTCCATGATCTAGATACCGCTGCGGTCAGCGCCAAAAGCCAGAAACTCGAAGAAGCCGCGCGTGCGCGAAAGAGGCAGCGAGTAGAGCATGGCGAATCCACCTCTTCGGCAGATACCATGATCAAGGACGCTATGGCTAGGTCGGATAATCTCCGAGACGGACATGAGCCCACCCTCTACCGGGGAAGTCAGCTCAACGCACAACTCTCGGCGGATGATCCTCGCAGTGCGATGTATGTATCCAATTCACGCAGATCTCCTCTTTAGCTAATGAGATCGCAGCGTGGAACGTAATAGCTTGCAGTCTCCTCTGCTATCTCTCCCAGCAGAAGTCCGTTGCGTCATCTTCGAATATGCTCTTGGTCACCAACACGTACACATCCTCACTGACGACTACGACACGAACATCTCTGTGGATCTTCCCGGTCCAGCTCGTTTCGGTGTGGATCCGCCTCATAGACGCGAGGCGATATCCCTGATACAAGCGCGGCAGTTCCACAACTGCGTCTTTCCAATTGACTGGAAGGCCTACTATCGTACTCAGCCGTACAAATATCGTCCATATCTTGTGTCTCCTACTATGCGGCATCAGCCGCAGCAGCAGCGATTTGAACATGAACGAGTGATCACCGCGACCAACGATCGCATGGCGCTATTCCAAGCCGTCTGTCGACAAATCTATCATGAGACTCGGTTCATTCCGTACGAGTTGAACGAATTCTCTTTCCAGGACGAGATGACGATGAAAGATTGGTTCGGCAATAGAGCGGCTGCTCAAAAGCGAGTTATCCATACGGTGTGGTTTGACCAGGAATGGCAGCGCAGTGACGCACTCTTCCCCTGGACCTACCTAGGCGCCCTTATTCATATTGGAAAGATCCATGGTGTCAAGAAAGTGTACGTGTCTGTGGCGGCTGTCGAGCATTTGTGGTCCACACAAAATCGTGGAAACTTTTCCAAGGCCAGATTCGCGGAAAATGTCCGTTCCCTTTTCAGCAGACGAGACGAACTTCAGGTAGAGTTCGTCAAGTAGATTGGTTTAGTGTGGCGTGGTGTGGTTTCTGTGCACGCACCTCATCTATCTGCTTGGCTCAATCTGGGGTTGCATGATAGCAATCTAGAGGCACCTCGCCTGTGCATCCTCAGTTGCCGAGAACAATATAAAGATCTTTGTGCATATTTAAGAAGCGATGCGTGACCAGAGTGCCTTGCTGCATATATTATTCGGGTTGCTAAGTTGCTTTGGGTGGGTGTTCACAGAATAGCTTCTCGACTGGCCAGCCTAAAATGCATCTCCTGCTAGCCCTCTCCGCCCTCGCTGCAACGGCGCAAGCTCATTGCAAGTTCACTACAGTGTAATCGGAAGAGTTGAACTGACTCTCAAAAGACCGCTTCTCCAAGCTCATCCTGAATGGCGTGCCCGAATCGGCGGAGTGGACTTCAATCCGACAAACGAAGAACTACCAAACCAACTCGGGTGTTACTTCCGTTACTAGTCCCGACATGCGCTGTTTCCAAAACCGTCCTGGAACGGGTACTGCCGTTGTCGCTGCTGGTGATAACCTCGGCTTCGTCGCTGAGACATCGATCACGCACTTCGGACCAGTGCAGTTCTATATGGCGAAAGTACCAGATAGTGCGAATGTCAATACGTGGGAGCCGGCGGGGAACGTTTGGTTCAAGGCGGCGAGTATCAGCGCGGTGGGAAGCCCATTGACAAGTGGGGAGAGCACATGGCCTGCGTATGGTACGTCTTCATCTCCCCTCCCGGTGGTTTCCTTCCGCCTTCAGTTGCTAACCCTGGGGCAGGAAAGTCGCAAGTACAGTTCCAGCTCCCTAAGAACGTGCCGAGTGGGAAGTATCTTGTTCGTGTAGAATCCATCGCCCTCCACCAAGCTCAGTCAGTCGGTGGCGCACAGATGTATCTGTCTTGTGCGCAAGTCGAGATTACCGGCGGTGGTAGTGGACAGCCTGGGCCTCTGGTTGCCTTTCCTGGAGCATACAATGCAAATGATCCTGGCCTGAGGTGGTCGTACTATCCGATCGCTACGAGCTACACTGCGCCTGGACCTGCTGTGTGGCAAGGCAATTGAGCTGCTCCGGAACTGGTCGAAACGATGGGTTGCGCGGGCGATGCTGATGCGGAAGGTGTGAGAACATGTGCTGTGGGATCCTCCCTTTCGACAGAATCTTTCCTCCATGAGTGGCCTTCTGCCTGAACCTCTTCTTCTCCCGAGCTTTTTGAGATCGTCATGCCGTACATTCTTTTCATACCAGATATCGCTCCTGTCTCCGCTTCTCTGCCTCCTCTTTCTTAGCCAGCACAAAGGCAACCTCAGACCCAATAGCAACTACAACTGTTGCTGCAATCCCAATGCCAGTTCCAATAGCCGCAAAGCCCAGAATGGTAAAACACGTGAACCCTGTGAAGATAGTGAGGTACATGACACGAAAGAAAAGTAGGAAGAGGCCGTCGGGTCTGCGCTTCATCGCGTGTGAGTGAGATGATTTTCGATGCCTCAGGGCGTTCAAGATATGATACTTCTGAGGTGCTGCTATTTTGATCGTCTCGAGGCTGGGCTTCCGTTTTGGGATACGAGGTGATGTTTGATGCTGATCTTAGCTGGGCAGCACGGCCATTGAATTGTGGGGATGCGATTCCGCGCCAACCGAGCGATTGTGCACACGAAGGGAATAGCATCGTACCACAACGATCAAGTTGTTGATAACGCCTATGACGAGGTGAAGCGCAGTCATCGCGGGGGCGTCAAAGCCACGTGACATGGCGTTCAGCAGCTTGCAGTGGCCGCGTCAGCTTGTCGACAATTGGCCCACGAGGGCGTGTCCTCATGCCAATACTAGGCCGAATGAGCGTGCCATCCTACTACCTATCTGTTTATAGCAGTGGCTATGCAGGCGAGAGGCCCGTTCAGGAAGAACAGACATGATGAAAAGACCCCTGAGGATTTTAGACCGGCCATGGACAGTGAGGGTACAATGCGTTGAACAGTGCGAGTCGAATCGGAGATGAAGTTTCAGTGCTTACAGCATGAGAATTGAGAAGCTTAGTTGCTCGCAGTCAACTGCTCGTGGATGTCGGTTTGCTGGAAGACAATGCGGCGGGCACAAGCGCATTCGCTGACGTAATCGCTCTCCGAATTCGCCAGCAACCTTAACAGGTTCACAGGCTGTAGGGCGCATACACTAGAGAGTACGCCAGATGCATGACGATGGGCATCAAAGTGTTATGGCTCGTGAAAGACACGAGGAACTTTGTGACCGCAAGAAGATGCCGTAATTGAGCAGCTGGCACTTTGAGATCGCGTGTCCGCACGTGTCGACGCGTTTGTCTTGGCGCGCGTGAAGCCGCTCGGTCGCCACTGGTTCACTCGCACATTGCACAGCACACGAGCACCATAACACTACTCAGCCATGCGCAATTGCTTCTTCAATGTTTAGGAATCCTCGAGAAAACCGCTCTTTGCCCGAATCGTCCCGATTAACACCCTCAACCGGGCGGGCTCCATCGCCACCCCGCTCATCGTCTCGAGTAGCAGACATGGCTGCCAAAACCGCAACGAAGAAGGCTGCGCCCAAGCCGAGCACGAAAGCGCCCCCACCGAAGAAAACCAGCGTTCAGACCACTTTGACGCCAGCCGACTTTGCTAAGAAGTCGCCTGCTGGCAATGGCAAGAAGCAGAAGCCGGCTGGCACACCGAACGGCAACATCATGGCATTCTTCAAGAAAGCCGAGGAGATCAACAGCCGTATATTCCTACAAGAACGAGGGTCAAATCCAACGATAGTGCTCGATGGCGACGAGGACGACGTGGGCTGGAGCGACGAGAAGAGCAATGGCGTCATGACTACAGACAACAGCGATGAGCGGTACAACGAGAATGGTGGGAGCAACAAGAGGCGCAAAGTCAGCGAAGAGGCGGTAGCGCCTGTGCCGGCCTGTTCACCACCCCCGCCGGCTGATGTTGAGAGCAATGCTCTGGATGCATTGGCAGCCGACGTTTCTAAGCAAGCGCCTAAACTGCGGAAGAAGTCCGGACCCTTCGTGGACGACTCAGACTCCGAAGACGACGAAGTTGAAATGCCTGCTACAACTCCAGGTATGACCATACGAAGCCATAATGAGGAATCGCCAATGACTAAACCAACGGAGGACCTGTCACCCCCGGATAGTGCCGAACACTCCAAATCCCACGAAACCACACCCATAAAGTCCGAATCGACATCGCAACACGGGGCCGAAGACTCGGAGGAATACGAAGATCTGGAAGACGATGATCTGCTCGAAGGCGAAGAATACGATGAAAGGCGATGGATGAAGGAACAACAGAAGCTCGAGATGGAAGAGGCAGGCTTTGAGGGCGACCCGGACGATTTCGACGCGCCACCTCTATTCCCTGAAGGCGATGATACCGAAGTCAAACACGAAGAGCCACGTACCAATGATATACCTTCCTGTCCGATATGCGGCAACAATCTTCCAGGCCTGTCAGAACAAGACGTATCCGTACACGTCAATGCGTGCCTAGACGGCAACCCACTCCCCTTACCTGTAGTGAAGTCCGAGGATGACAGCAAGGCGACCGTGACGAGCAAAGCGAAGGTTTTCAAAAAGCCAGACAGGCCAGCTAAACCTGGCCAAGCCAATCCGTTCCAGCTTGCGAAGCCCAGCGCCCAGCCAAGTTCAGCCTTTTCGAAGCTTATGGCCGGCCATGCTGAAGATGCTGCGTGGGCATCTGCTGCAGCCGAGAACAACAAGTCTCGCGGCAAGCCTGCATACCAACGCACCTGCCCATTCTACAAAATCATGCCAGGCTTGTTTATCGCTGTAGATGCGTTTCGATATGGAGCCGTCAAAGGTCAGAATGCCTACTTCCTGAGTCATTTCCATAGCGATCATTACATCGGGCTTACTTCCTCATGGAAGCATGGACCGATATACTGTAGCAAAGTCACTGGCAACTTGGTACGACAACAGCTTCGTGTGGACCCCAAGTGGGTGGTCGATCTGGATTTTGAGAAAAAGACAGAAGTACCAGGAACGGAAGGCGTCCACGTCACAATGATCTCTGCGAATCATTGCCCTGGCAGCTCTCTGTTCCTGTTCGAAAAGGAACTTAGCAAGGGCAAGAACCCGAAGTTACAAAGAGTGCTACACTGCGGAGACTTCCGTGCGTGTCAAGCGCACATCGAACACCCGCTATTACGCCCAGACGTCCTCGATGCTGTGAGTGGAAAGAATCGGCAACAAAAGCTAGACGCTTGCTACCTTGACACCACCTACCTGAACCCCAAATACGCTTTTCCGCCTCAGAAGCAGGTCATCCAAGCTTGCGCGGACATGTGCGTAAGTCTCAGCAAAGTCCGCGCGGACGACTCCGATGGATGGGAGCAGATGAAGCGAGACCGCGCAGGCCAAGGTATGGTCAAGTTCGTTCGGAAAGACTCTAATACCGACGCTACCGGCGAGCCCAAAAGCCCTGCACGAGGCCGACTTCTGGTTGTGGTGGGCACATACAGCATCGGGAAGGAGCGTATCTGCACTGGGATTGCGAAGGCGCTGGGAAGCAAGATCTTCGCCCCTGCCAACAAACAGCGCATATGCAAAGCTCTCGAGGACCCCGAACTGGATGCACTACTCACGACAGATCCCCGGGCAGCCCAAGTGCATATGACACCGCTGTTTGAAATCCGAGCGGAGACATTGGACGACTACCTACGCGATTATGCCGACACGTTTACGCGCGTTGTCGGCTTTAGACCCTCAGGCTGGAACTATCGTCCACCAAAGGGTCGCTTTACCGAGTCACCCCAAGTACAAACCGTCTTGCATTCCGACAATTGGAGAAGTACCTTCTCTATGAAAGAACTGACGCCGCAAGCCGGGAGTGGAAGTCGGGCAAGCTGCTTCGGTGTGCCGTACAGTGAGCATAGCAGCTTCAGAGAGCTGACCATGTTTTGCTGCGCTTTGCGCATCGACAAGATCATCCCGACGGTCAATGTAGGCAGCGCAAAGAGCAGAGAGAAGATGAAGGCCTGGTGCGACCGATGGGCGGCGGACAAGAAAAAGAACGGGCTGTTCAAACTGGGTGAAGACGGAGAGGGTTGGTCATAGTGAGATTTGATTGGCATGCGCATTGCAATAGTGGACCCAAGTCTATGATTTGGTAGCGATTCTACCAACCTTGGCTTCACGCCAATGCCAATGATCTTTCAACATGACTCAGTCTCACTACATATTGATATCAGTCCTCTAATCGACACACTCATCTACGATATCCCCAAGTTCGCTTCCGCCATGTCGTCAATCATCCGCCTCCTCGTCATTTCCGATACTCACTCCGCTTGGCCCTACACCCCAGACTACCCTGCACCTCCATGCGACATCCTCATCCACTGTGGTGATCTCACACAAGTCGGCGGTCTTCCCGCATACAAAAAGGCTATGCATGACATTCAGACCGTCGACGCAGAGCTCAAACTCGTCATCGCCGGCAACCATGACCTCGATCTCGATGAAGAGTGGGTGCGTAAGAACGCTGAAGATGGAGAAGAGGAAGAAGATATAGAGGACAGTAGGAAATGTGTCAGTTTCATGAAGTCGCACGAGAAAGATGATGTATACTACCTGGAAGAGGGTAGACATGAGTTCAAACTGAAGGATGGGAGAAGCTTCAGTGTCTGGGCGAGTCCGTATACGCCGGAGTTTAACGGGTATGCATTTGCGTACGGAAAAGACGAAGATCGATTCAGCAACATATCCGAAGATATCGATATCTTGTTGACGCATGGACCGCCTTCATTCACCGACGAACTCGGCTACGGTCTCGATGTCAATGTGAAAGGAGAAAGCTGCGGATGCAAAATGCTAGGTGATGCAGTGAAGAGAGTGAAGCCAAGATTGCATTGCTTTGGGCATGTGCACGAAGGGAGAGGCGCTGTGAAGATGCAGTGGTCTGAGATGGGAAATGGGAATGAAAGGGTGAAGATGCTGCCCGATGATGGGAGAGTTCTTAGCATCAGTAATGAACTGGAGAGGGCCAGATCTGTGCTAGTGAACGCGGCGGTATGGGGTGAAACAAAAGGCTGGACTATCGACCTCGACATATAAAATTCCCACTGGCTTCCACCATACCCGAACAACCCCTACCACCGCAACCAACACCAAGATGTATCAATCAATGGCCAGCCCCTACTCAGACAGTACCAGCGCACACGAGACTCACGGACCCGCCGACCGCCTCGAGCATCTCGTACACACCCAGGGAGTCGACCTTGTTCGCCACTCCCCAATCTTCAAACTCCAAAGGCGATTCGGACTTCCAGGCGCAGCTCTTCTTGTATGTCTTGCCCTCATCATGTCGGTCTACGTCGACGTAACATTCGGCTACGGCGCATACTCCTACCGTTTCTTGGGCAGCAAAGCAGCCGACAATGTCATGGTTGCTCTGTTGATCGTGGTGGTCGCTTTT